GGGGGGGGGGGGGGGCATGCAAGCACTGTCACCGTTAGTTTTACTTTTATTTTGTTTTCATTTTTGAAAAACGTATCTTTGCTGTTTACCTCACATTACGCTCTATGGAGGCACTCTTATATTTATTTATTTGATTCCTCAGTGTTTGCTAAACGTTCTGTAATTTATTAGTCAGTATATAATACAGCATGTGGTGTTTGCCATGCCTCATCTTATTCGTTTTTGTTAAAAGTTTTGTAAGCTAGTTTGTCATTGTATCATTGTATTGTAAAAAAATATTGCGACCAAATCATGTGCTCGAGCAACCAGCTGAGAAAGTTAGTTGCAAAAGAGCGACTAGTGGGAAGAATAAGTCTGGAGCCCTGTATAGGCTATACAGTGCATGAAAAGCATCTGTTTCTTTTGGTATGACTCCCCCCTTGTCTCGTATAAAAAGCACAATAATCGTTTAGATCAAATAATCGCGATTAGACGGTTATTTAATTATCGCGACAGGCCTAGTTGTTAATATCACTTATCAGCTTGAGCCCGATTGAGACGCAGAGGATATTATTGAAGAGCATCGTGCAGAACCTGTGCAAGCACGGCTTTTAATGGTAGGCCTATGTTTTTTGTTTTTTGTTGTCTCAGACTTTTAGATACGCGGTTATTTGCAAATGCTACTGCTTGTTAGCTTTTAATATACGGTTTTATCCTAATTAAAGCTTTAATACAGTACGGCAACTGCATGCACGTCCATGTTTAACGCTTCTCATAGCTATGTGAAAATAATTGTATAATTGGAACAGTTCATTGTTGGAGCTGAGCTGAATGAGAGAGAGAGAGAGAGAGAGAGACATGCAGAGCAGGGGAATGCGAGGAACAAAATTAAGAACCGCTGCTTTAGAACATTGATTTTGAAACTTGTGAATCTATTAGAATCGTTAGAAGACAGAATCGCGATTCATATATGAATAGATTTTTACGTGCACCTCTAGTTTTCTCTTCCTCTTCTCGAAAGCAGCGCAGTATGGCCTCGCCACCTTTGCTGCCTTTTCCAGAGGGCGGGGTTTATCTGGGTTTGTTACGTCACAAACCCGGGAAGTTCCTAGTTGTAGTCCATACCAGCCGTTTTTGTAGGCATTAAACTGCCAGAATTTGAAAAGACGATATCTCCGTTTGCATTGAACTTTCAGCTTCGTAACTTTGCAGATATTGTTTATGCTCAAACAGCAACATCACACACTAACTAACGTTAAAAAAAGTGAAATCGCAATGAACCACCCCTTTAAATCACAAAAAATATGTATAAATAAAATCATTCTAATTCTATTAAAGGGGTCACATGATGCGATTTCAAGTTTTCCTTTCTCTTTGGAGTGTTACAAGCTGTTTAAGAATAGATAAGATCCCTAAAGTTGCAAAGACTAAAGTCTCAAACCCAAAGAGATATTCTTTATAAAAGTTAAGACTGGTCCACGCCCTCCTAAAACGCCTCGTTTAAACACGTCCCCACATGTCTACATCACTGTGTGAGAAGATTTGCATAACGCCGCCCAAATGTTCACGCAAAGTGTATGGGTGACAAGAAATCCACAGGGCCATGCTGGGCTGAGAGGGGGACAACTGAGAGACCCATAGGCGTCTGTCCGTGACCTAGAAGGTCATCTAGGCCCTAAATATAGGGGGAACCCAGCTTTAGAAGTATGATATAGTAGTGTGTTTTTGACTTTCTTACCATGTGTGGAAAAATACAGCTGTTAAGAGTTTGTAACCTTGACTGCAAAAGAGATATAAAGTGGAGGAGCGCCCTCCCTTCTTTGTCACACTCTGCAGCGACTTGTGTTTCTATATGATGTCTGGCCTTCTTTGCAAAGAATAAAACCTTTAAAAGACAATTGAGAGTGAGTTTGTCTCTTATGCCGATGAGAGTCATTTTATTTTGCCCCAACAATACTTTGTTTGGCCTTCCAAAAGAGGACACGACTAAAATCAGTGGTTAGGTTGTATTTACAACACTGTTCCAGAACAGTTCAACCCAAATATTCAGATATTGCAGATATGCACAGTGTGCAGCGCATTTTATGGAGGACTGTTTCCTGATCCTGGAAGAGTAGACTACAATGCTGGCTGTTCTAACTCACAGACTGTAAATTTGTCTTCATATTTAAAGATTTTGCCACTGATGATTCAAACGTGAGTTTTGAGCAGTGTAGAGTAGCGCTTGTTGTTTGTCATTTCTCTGATCACAAATGCAGACATGGTTTTATGTTTACGCGGCGCGATGCAACGCGTAAAAAGACAGTATAAGTCATTATAATCCGTTAATTATGTCCCCACTGGATGCAACAAATGCCTCATTTATAATGGGTTTTAATGTTTTTGTCTCGTCTCTCTAGGACATGGCATCACAGTATGGTAGGAGTGTAACATTTCCGTCACATGCTTGAGGTATTCGGCCAATCACAACGCACTGGATAGCTGACCAATCACAGCACACCTCGCTTTTCAGACCGAAGAGCTTTGTAAAAATCGACGCATTTCAGAAAGGCGGGGCATAGAGGAGAAACAATAATGTACATGTGGAAAATAATGTGTTTTTTTAACCTTAAACCGCATAAACATTTCATTACACCAAATACACAAAATAATGTTCTTTTTAGCAACATCATATGACCCCTTTAACTCTTACCCTGGAGGCATTCCGCGCATGACAGGAGGCATCCCTGGCATCATCGGGGGGACACCAGGCATCATTGGGGGCATTCCTTTGAGAGAAACCATTTAAGAGACACATAATAAATATACTATGCATAACATCTAAAATTGGGTGTTTGGTACCATTACAAAGCACACCTGAGTAGCTTCCAGGTGGCATCCCTGGAGCTGGGACAGGGGCCATTCCTGGTTGGGTCATAGGGGCATAGGCTGCCTGAGGCTGTACAGTTGTTGCTGGCTGCTGGAAGGAGGGACCAGCCTCTTCATCTGAGTCATCTTCATCCGAGTCATCTTGCTGTTTTTTCTTTTGATTTTCTGTAACCAAAAAAGGAGAATATAGTTACCATGGGTTCACTTGGGCTACAAAAAGAACAAATGAGTAAATGTTATACCCTGTGTTTTTTGTTCAAGCACACGTCTCCTCTCCTCCACGTCTTTCTCTGGAATACCCTCCATTCCATAGATCTCCAGCTCTATGTCAGTCCTTCCCGGTATTGCATTAGGGACACCATCAATGGTTTCTTTGTGAACCTTTAATATATCAAACAAAAACATACAGCAAATTAAACATACATATATATATATATATATATACACACAGTATATACACTGAACAAAATTATAAACGCAACACTTTTGTTTTTGCCCCCATTTTTCATGAGCTGAACTCAAAGATCTAAGACTTTTTCTATGTACACAAAAGGCCTTATTTCTCTCAAATATTGTTCACAAATCTGTCTAAATCTGTGTTAGTGAGCACTTCTCCTTTGCCGAGATAATCCATCCACCTCACAGGTGTGGGTGTGTGTGTGTGTGAGTTTATATGTAACTTTATACCTGCATACAGTGGATGGCCAGACCAGGACCAGTGTATAACTTCTTGTGACATATGTGACACTTAAAGTGTTTGGCCTTCTGATGCTGAATGAGAATCTTTTCATCATCAAAATCCCTGTTACAGTACCTGTGTTTGCAGTTAAAGTCATATAAACAAGGAAAAATACATAACAATAAAGCACCAAGATAAGCAGAAGGGACAGACTGTCAGCATAAGGAAGCTTAAATCTTTTTCTACTTCTTTCAATATTATACCCTAGTAAAATGGTTCTCAACCTTTGTCCCTCCCTTTGTCTACAAAAATATTCAAAGGCCCCATGACTTTTCCAGGTTTTAATGACTTGCTGAACAAGGATGAAGAATAATATTTTTTTTCACAAGCACAACTGCCTGAGAAAAAGTTTAGAGCAAAATCTGTATATTCAAAAAATGCTCATGGAGTTTATTCATTACAATTTCACAAAAATGACATTTTATAACTTTACATGAATTTATTTGAACCCTTTCACTTTCATCCCTAAAAGGAGCTAATGAAAAAAGTATTTTGGAGAAAACTTAGTAGACATCTAATAAATAGCCCCAATAACTTTTTTTTACATTTATGTTTTATATAAAACTCTACCGTACGGTTGAGCTGTCACTCCATGGTAAATCTTGATTTGAATTCAGAGAACTATTTCTATAAGTTATTTTCCAATAATAAACATTCCTTTAACTTCATTAGTATCTTGGATACATTTCATAACCTTCAGGGTCCACAAAGATAAAAAAGATATATATATATTTAAGTGTCTATAACATATATAGACATATGGCAATATATATGTTATATGATGTCCTTTACAGACATATCAACCGTAGGGTCACGCATGATTTAGGATAATTATGGTAAATAAACATTTTTGCATTTCTCATATATTTTGCTTTATTTCTGTTCTTTACCCTCTACCCTATTCACAACAACATTATGGTTTCATCCCTACTTCTTTGATTGCCTGTTTGCCCCTATTATCTGATGACTGACCAGCACCGTTCTCCCTTCTATGTGACTGACTGAAGTTTGTAAACTGCTGCTGTCACTTGAAAACTGGACATTCCCAAACCCCGCATGGCAACAGCAGACACAGATGTGGGGCAGTACAGCTGTGAAAAGATTGCTCTCTCATCTCTTCCTTTTGATAGATTTATTCCCTATCAAATTAAGCTCAATCGTACAGTAGAGATATCAGTTAAAGGGTTAAAATTATTATTTTGTATTAAAAATACATATATCCAGGTTTTTTTTTTTTACATTTGGAATCCTGGTTCTTCAAAGAAAAAAAGCGGTTGTTGAGGAGGCAAGTTATCGAGTTACTGCAGGAGGAAATGTCTTTATTTTTTTTTAGTTACTGGATATTTCCTTGTGAAATGTTATCAACATCATGGTCTATTTTTGTTAGCGGAAGCGTGAAACTAATCTACGTATATATACAGAGAGACAAAAAATTATTGTAACTTAAAGGGGTCATATGATGCTATTTCATTTTTTCCTTTCTCTTTGGAGTGTTACAAGCTCTTGGTGCATAAAGAAGATCTGTAAAGTTGCAAAGACTAAAGTCTCAAATCCAAAGAGATATTCTTTATAAAAGTTAAGAGTCAGCCACACCTACCTAAAACGGCTCATTCTAACACGCCCCCTCGTACAGTAGAGATATCAGTTAAAGGGTTAAAATTATTATTTTGTATTAAAAATACATATATCCAGGTTTTTTTTTTTTTACATTTGGAATCCTGGTTCTTCAAAGAAAAAAAGCGGTTGTTGAGGAGGCAAGTTATCGAGTTACTGCAGGAGGAAATGTCTTTATTTTTTTTTAGTTACTGGATATTTCCTTGTGAAATGTTATCAACATCATGGTCTATTTTTGTTAGCGGAAGCGTGAAACTAATCTACGTATATATACAGAGAGACAAAAAATTATTGTAACTTAAAGGGGTCATATGATGCTATTTCATTTTTTCCTTTCTCTTACTGATCCTGGGGCAGTTCTGACTCACACAAGTACGTTTTCTTTTATCATTTGTCACTGATGATTCAAACGAGAGTTTTGGGCAGTGTGGAGTAGCACTTGTTTGTCATTTCTCTGATCACAAATGCAGACAGGGTTTTAGGTTTACGTGTAAAAAGACAGTATAAGTCATTATAATCAGTAATTATGTCCCCACTGGATGCAACAAATGCCTCGTTTGTAATGGGTTTTAATGTTTTTGTCTCATCGCTCCGGCCGGGACACGGCATCACAGTATGGTAAGGGGCGTAACATTTCCGTCTCACGCTTGAGGTATCCAGCCAATCACAACGCACTGGATAGCTGGCCAATCAGAGCACACCTCGCTTTTTAGAACGATGAGCTTTGTAAAAATCGACGCGTTTCAGAAAGGCGGGGCATAGAGGAAAAACAATAATGTACAGTATGTGGAAAATAATGTTTTTTTTTTTTACTTTAAACCGCATAAACACATTTCATTACACCAAATACACAAAATAATGTTCTTTTTAGCAGCATCATATGACCCCTTTAAATCTGATGCATTAAGTGGGCGTATTAACTGGTAAGTCTTCTCTTCGCGAACATTCAAACAGAACACAAATTCGAAAGCGCCTATGATGCACAGGGACGCAGGCCTTGATATCAGAGAAACAATGCATTAGCTCTTCGTAAACACGAAGTGGTCAAATCCCTACTCATAAACAATTCGAAAAATATTAAACAACGGTACGATAGCTTTTAAAGAAGGATACCAACACCAGGGCTTCATCTGCTTCTTCTTTTTTCTTCCCATGATTTATTTACCAGCCTATTCTGCGAGCACCACACTGATGACTAACTTACCAAAACATTAGCAAAACTAAAATGGAGAAAATAGGACATGACGACAGCTTTTTCCATGCACTGACAACAACACATCACAAGGAATATCGCCTCCACCTGGACAGGAGGTGCACAACTTTGGAAACTGGTAGGCGTTCGAATGACAGCAAAAGTAATAATAATAACAATAATAATAATAAATTAAATTAAATAAATACAACATTTAATATTTGACTTCATTCATAATTCTGCATGACTGCACATTAATCCTTATTTAACTTTCCTTAGTCATCACTTAGACGCCCTTCCAGACACGTGCAGAGGGGGTGCAAAGGGTGCTTGAGCACCTGCCCCTTTTCCCCTTGATGCCCAAAGTGCCCTTTTGTCAAGGCAATTTTTTTTTGTAATTAAACGCCATTTTGCGAAGGCCTGCCCAACCTAAGTATTAGTAAAATGAATGAATAATAATTTAGTCATAAATAAAATTATCCACATGCTGATGACCTTTCACCTGACGATCTCATCAGGGACTATATAATCCCTCATGTTCAGACACCTTTAATGTAATGTAGCACACTACCAGGATGCCTTCATAACGTCCGCGGCTGCCGGTAAGTGCAGTTCTCAGCGGAGAGGTGTGCTTGTATACTTATATTATTAAATTATTATTATTATACAAGAACTGCGTGAAGAGAGCATGCACAGCTGTTGTTTATATTGCTGTGTGTAGCCTGTGGAAGTAAGGTTAGCTGCAGCAATTGAGGGGCTATAATATTTTTGTTCAATATTTTCTTAATGACAATTTTATGATCGGTTTATAAAGGCTACTACGAGCACCTTTTCCCCATTTCACAGAATAAGGCAGGAAATGTATAGTTTCTATAGGCTACTAAATTATATGTCAATCAGTACTGCATTATTCATAAAGTTTATTACCTGGAGATAACTTGAAAAACACACATAAACCGTATATTTTCGCAATCGTGTGTTTATTGTCTGCACGTTTTTTTTCTTCTGCTTTTTCTTCAGCTCAGTTAAAGCGATAGCTGGTTGCTTTTGTCCATATTAGGCTTTCCTGCACATCATAAGTCATTCCTTCTAAAAAAAAAATAATAATAATAATAAGTAATTCATTCTATGAGTCTGTTTTGGACTTTCTGCAGGAGAGCGCCCTCCGGCTTCGAGGATGAATTAAACATACACTGCACGAGAGTGTTGAGCTCCAGATATTCACTTCTCCTCATTTTGAATATGAATAAAACGCCAGGTCATGCATAGACTAGCGATACTGTCTCTTTGAATTTAAATCTCGAAACCTCTATGTGAACACACCTGCCCGAATAAAGTGCGGGGGACGAAATTACATTTCTTTAAAATTAAATATTAAAAATGCAGCTAGCGTTCTACACACAGCAATGTAAACAAAGGTGCCTGTTCTCTTTCGTTCTGTCTGTTTGATTGGGAAAGTTTAAAGGGCGTCGAGGGTTCTCGTCTTTGCCATCTAAAAACTATTACTTCGAACTTTTTTTATTACAGTATTTATTTTAAAAACGTAGCGTGCCTTAAACATAATTATCACAATCCTGCTAAAACAGGCTTATACTGATTTTCTCATCCTCCGATTTATAGGCTGCTTGTCAATCCTGTTTTTAATCATCATTATAATTTTAAAAAATGAATAAATTCAGAACAGGATTATAATATAATTCTATTTTAAATAAGACAGAAATATTTTTTCTACAACAGCAACAGTAGTGCTTACACCAGCAAAACCAGCATACACTGTAAACTCAACAATAACAATAGGCCTAATTTAATTCCGTTTCTATTTTCAGAGTGATTAAGAGGTGCACAGAAATATTTATTTAACTTTTAAACATTTTCAAAACTGCGTCACGGCATTTGCTCCTATCAGTACAGAAGCATCCGTTTCGATACATGTCCCAGCAAGGAGCACAGCCCTATTAACAGCCGTGCTCCATGTGCCCCTTTTATACTTTGAGCACCTGCCCCTCCAAAGGTCTCTGCACGGCCCTGCACCCTTCTATAAGGAAGAATATAAAACTTAAATAAATAGTTTTGAGTTGACCTCGCCATTGTTTTATGGCATTATTTAGTCAGTGTTATCTGTTTTAATTGCCTTTTGATTTTGCTGGCATCATCTGAAAACAAATATTGATTCAGATAAAGAAAGGTTAGTAAAATATGAGTAACACATTTTATTTTGTTGTATAGGCCTACATTTTAACTTTATAAAGCTCAGCGTGTTTAAAGTTTTAATAAAATCAAGGCTGATTTGGAAAAAAAAGTAGGATACATGACAGTAAGTTTAGTTTTTTCTTGGTAACCCAAGATTCACAGAATCATGTTTTTTATAATTAATAACCTTAAATTTATTTATTCTGTATTATACATAAAGAAAGCATGGAATCATTGCCAGACTGGTTCAGTAAAACAGCATGCACATCTTATAAAGTGAATACAGCATGTCAAGGCACACTACTCTCAATGCAATGCATTCAAGCAAAATAATAATAATAATAAAAATAAAATAAAACAACTATGTAAATTCCAAAATACAATCTCCAGAGGTAATTATTTTCTAAGATAAGCTATAAATACATTTCTCAAATAACTACATTCAAACAGTATTTATACCTAAAACCATACTCAAAATTAAAGGCAGGCATTTTTATATTCAGATTTAGCTAAATCTGCATTAGATGCAACTAACCAGTTCGATTAATTAAAAAAAATATATGAACAATGTATTTCTGATAAACAGAGTCAGGTAACAGCAGTTATGATTTATGTTAAACACATTTCTTGTCAGCTTTAAATATAACAGTGCTTTGCATATTTCTGCGAAACTACTTAAATCACTGACATCATGCACTATCTGTGGGTCAAAAGCCCTTTGTGTATAGATTCAGAAATTACTTTCAGACACATTTTTTAGCATTCACCACAGCACATTCCTTAAAGGTATAGTTCACCCAAAAATGAAAATTCTGTCATTAATTACTCACCCTCGTGTCGTTCCAAACCCATAAGACCTCCGTTCATCTTCGGAACACAATTTAAGATATTTCTGATAGAATCTGAGAGCTCTCTGACCCTCCCAGCAAGGGTCCTTACATGATCAAGGTCCGGAAACGTAGCAAGGAGATCGGTAAAATAATCCATGTGACATCAGGGGTTCAACCGGGATTTTACAAAGCTACGAGAATACTTTTTGAGCACAAAATAAAAAAATAAGGACTTTATTCAACAATTCGTCTCCTCCTCCACCCTGGTGCCATTTTGGAGAGTATCCACTGAACGCACACAGCATATGTTGTTCTGTGTCAGCTTCGCCACGCGGATATGTTGTTTTTGTTCAAATCAAAGCATAAACGACATAAACAGCGTATCCGTGTGCCACAGCTGAGCTAACACAGAACAACATACACTGTTTACGTCCAGCTGATACTCTCCAAAATGGCGCTAGGGTGACGGAGGAGGCTAATTGTGGAATAAAGTCGGGGGGTTTTTTTGCACACAAAAAGTCTTCTCGTATCTTTGTAAACTCACAGTTGAACCCCTGATGTCACATGGATTATTTTACAGATCTCCTTGCTACGTTTCCGGACCTTGATCATGTAAGGACCCTTGCTGTCTATGTGAGGGTCAGAGAGCTCTCAGATTCTATCAAAAATATCTTAAATTATGTTCCGAAGATGGTCTTACGGGTTTGGAACGACATGAGGGTGAGTAATTAATGACAAAATTCACATTTTTGGGTGAACTATCCCTTTAATAAACACAAAGTATGCCAATTTAATATAATAAACACCTATTTTCATCTAATACCCTTGTTGTTGCCCCATTTCTAAGTTGTTCAAGGCAGTTATTTATACCATTTACGTAATTTTAACACTAAAATCCTGTATTTCACTCTACACTTTAACAATGAAGACTGAAATATCAGAAAAGGCTAAAATTGTAAAAAGGTAGCAAAGCAGCAGAGATGTCATAAAAGAACATCACAAGTCAGTTTAAGATATCAATTCTACAATCATTTTAAGAGTGCAAATCCTTTGATCATTAAAGTGTTGCTAATAACATGCTTACCTCTCACTGACCATTACAAAAATATATGAGTTTTACAACAGTGTAAATCCCTGCTGAAACATGTTTTTAATTTAATAAATCATTCGTAAATGTTATGAAACATCAGTCAGAAGAGGCTATTTAAAATATCCCATACCCGTGTGTACATTAAAACACCTTCTTCAACATTTTGGTCAATTTTAAGAGGGGAACTTTGGTTGTCATTTAAAAAAAATAACTTTCTTAATCCTCCTGCAAATTCTGAAATAGGCCCAATGTCACCATCACTCCCTGTCTTTAGGTATCTTTCATTACACAATTACCCCACATTTATCACCACGGCAATAACATCACATTCCTTGTAAAATTCAGTACTATTCAGTGGTGTTCCCCTATCCAGATAAGAAGTTGTTTATGTGAAACAGCAGGTAAATAGTGTACAATAAACCTGAGATCTCAAAGCCGCCAGTCACAGAGAAACATATTCTGAACACAACCATTTTTCATAATGGTTGCCTCAGTCCAAAACTATCTTTCCATCCTATTAAAGTATAAATTGCCATGGGAATGTGATTGCGTACAATGTAGAGGTTTTTAGGTCATTCATTGACTATGTCTTCTTTATTCTGTTCTCTAGGGGTCCTCTGTGCCTCCCTAAGGCTCTTTTTATGAGGTTCAGAAGTTTCATCGTCCTCTTTTTAATGCAGGTTCTGTCTTTCTTTTTGCACTCTGATTCTGTCTTAGTTTAAGATCCCACTCCCAGTGCTTTCTTCATATGCTCATAAACCACATAAGAGATGCTAACAGCAGGAATGACTTTGAGGAAGTTGGGGGCAATGCCACGGTAAAGTCCAGGAACGCCTTCATGGGACACAATGTGCTTGAACTGGCCAACCATTGACAGCTGAGGAGCACCATCTAAAGCTGAGGCTTTCAAGAAGAAAGGGAGGAGGAGGTGTGAGGTTATCATTTCATTTGCATTTCCAATGTTTTCATTGTTGTGAACTTATTGTGTTTCATAAAGAATCACAAAATAAGCAGAATGACATGTAACAAGAATTCGTCTCGCTCACCCTGAGCCTGCATGCGTGTGCGGATTAACGCCAGCGGGTAACTAGCCAGCTGCCCACATGTGCTGGACACAGTGCCACATCCAAGAAGCACCAGAACGCCAGGATCAGCCGAGCCCATGCAGTAGCGCTGTAGCCAAGCATTCTTTAGAGTCTGTTGAAATAACAGACAGAAAAGAGCAATAAAGATATTTTCTTTAATATTTTTCAAAATATACAAAAAATGTCCAAAAATATATTGTTAATATTTACAGTATATTTGCATACATTTAGTTTTGACACAGTTAATTATATTTCCTAATTTTTGGCCATTTTTAAGAAAAAAAGTTAAACCTAAAATTATTTATATTGTCCAAAACTTTTTTTTTAAATGCATTTTGCATTTACTCAAAATGTATTTTAAAATTGGAAATGTATCTTTTGTAATATATTTTGGCATTTGAAGATCTACAAAAATGTATATTTATTTTGACAGCAGTCATGCTATGTACAATACGCTATCTTTCAAAAGTTTGGGGTCAGAAAGAATTTGTTTTCAAAAGAAGTTTTTATGCTCACCAAGACTGCATTAATTTGATTTAAAAAAAAAAAAAAATCTATTGTGAACTACAAACCCGATTCCAAAAAAGTTGGGACACTGTACAAATTGTGAATAAAAACAGAATGCAATGATGTGCAAGTTTCAAATTTCAATATTTTATTCAGAATACAACATAGATGACATATCAAATGTTTAAACTGAGAAAATGTATTGAGATTTGTAAATTATTCCATTCCTTTTTTTACTCACAATTTGTACAGTGTCCCAACTTTTTTGGAATTGGGTTTGTATTATTACAATTCACTATTATTAATTTTTCTATTTTTGTATATTTTAAAATACTTTAGTATATTTAGTATATTAATGTAGTATACTTTAATTTATTTAACTGCATTGACTTCAGTGTCACATGATCCTTCAAAAAAATCATTCTAATTTGCTGACTTGTGCTTTTTTGTAACATTATAAATGTTTTTACTTTCACTTTTAATCAATTCAGTGCATCCATGGCCAAAAAATATTATTTTTATTTTTATTTTTAGCCATATGGGAAAGAATGAAATGGAGTTAACAGATTTCTTAAGACTATCATCTGAAAAGATCTGTGAGTTGTAGAAGGACACCATAGAACACAACAACATAAATACATAACATATAATTTAACCAACCACTGCAACTGAGAATTATGAATTCTTAAAGCTTGACAGTGGCACAGCAGGGATTTGCAAACACTTAAATGTGTTAAAATATACACACACAGCCATACCTCATAGACAGCCAGATCAATGCCAGCATACGGGATGATTCCAAGTGTGTTGGGCACATAGCCTTTGTAGAACGCGCGCAATCCTTCTTTACGCAGTATCTGTTTGGCACAGTCTGCCATGCCAGAATATTGTCCTGTCTTCCGGAGGGTCAGACGTGTCTTCAACACCTAGGAAGCAAATAGGAATAGATTTTTTTTTTATAATAAATTGAGAATATAGAGCAATATAAGTTTAGAGGTCACTAGTAACTTCAAGCTGCAGCAGCTCCTTCCAGCATAAATAAATGGAGGACTTGGCTTCCAAAATGTGATGCTGATCTGCCTCATTAAATACACCATTAGAAGCCTGAAAAGTCAGCTTGTTTTCTGCATTTAAACCTACCAGGAATAGAAAGACAATCTGTATGTGTATTTGTCAACCAGGCCCAGGTCATTTTTTACTCTCTTTTTTTTTGTGCATTTAGAACAACATGTGTGAACAGGCAAACAGCAATTAGGAACAACTTTTGTTAAACAACCTCCTCTGTTACATGATTGTCTGGCATTTGTACTTTACATTAGCAGCTATGAACATTACTTGAGATAACAGATACTTTTACAGCCAGACATTATATGAGCAAGATCACTAAAGGAATGTTCCAGGTCCAATACAAGATTTAATTTGATAATCCAAATCATCCATGTTTTTATACAGTCTATGAAACAAACCTGCGTGACCATAGCAACCCGGGATTATCAAAAATAGATAAAACATTTTTATTAACATTAAACATTTAATTTAATATTTGTATATTATTATTATTATTATTACATTAACTTATTAGGGCTATATTTTTTATATGTATTGTTATATATGCTTATTTCCCCTTTCAATTTGTGTATCGCTTTACCTAGTTAACGTTTTGTATAATTATGCTAGTATTTGCTAGCCTACCATATATTTTGTAAATAAACGCCTGACAATTACGCCAATAAAATTTTGACTTTAAGATTGTATTTATGCCCATGTGTGATGATAAATGAGCGTGTTGTGTTTTCATTTACAAATGAAACTACGTGAATGATTCATTCCTCAACGAAACACTATAGTATTTATAATTATGGTCCATTAATTAGCCGAAATAAAATGAAATATATGTTAAATTTAAACTGCGTTCCAGCAAAAATTCCAGTCAGCATAATCAAAGCTTTATTGGCATGTCGAGCATTTACAGTAGGCTAATATTTACAAAAGTATTCAGAACATTAAGTAAAGACATTGAAATAAAGGGAAAAAATGAATATAAACGAATATAAAAATATAACCAATAATAATAGACTAATAATAATAATAATATACAAATATTACAGGGAAAAGTCGATCAGTTAATGGATTTACAAGACTGTAGGATGGATAAAAATGTTTTCTTGTAGGCCTATTTTATATTATGCACTTTATGTAACATTTATTCATGATAAACTTCATTTGAATGCTGACAATCACAATCTATAATAATAAAAAATATAATAATTTCTTAATTCAAAATAACATATTAATGAATCTATCTCTGATAATCCCGGGTTGCTATGGTCACGCAGGATTGTTTACGCATTAAACGCGTGGCCACGAGAAAAATATGTCGTTCCCTCAATATAGCATCTCGAGGCCACGACATAATATCACATTCCCACGAGTTATTATGTCGTGGCCACAACAAAACTAAGTGAACCTAACATGTCACCTTACGGGCACCGTAGTTTTCTGTTTTAAAATGTAATTTATTAATGTGATGGCAAAGCGGAATTTTCAGCAGTCTTTTTCAGTGTCACATGATCCTTCAGAAACATTTCTTATTGTCGGTGTTGAAAACAGTTGTGTTACTTAATATTTTTTGTCGACACCCTGATTTTTTTCAGGATTCTTTGATGAATAGAAACTTTAAAAGGACAACATTTAAAATAGAAACCTCTGTAACATTATAAATACTTAGTTTACTGTACTAATGTATATCTATAATTGTAATTACTTTTTAATTTAGAGACAGCTTATTCTGAATGGAATCCATGTCCATTTTCTAACACTGAGGCAGATCTTTCTGTTTATATATCCATCTACTTTATACAATATCTATAGAAGTGCTTATGATAAAAAAGACGATAAGTACAGACGTAAAGCCACTGAAATCTTCAGGTCTCAACTTTATAGAGCTATTTAGTCATGACGTCAATTTGTAGGCTAACCCGAAAGGATAATTTGCCAAGGATTCCCTCAGGAAATTCGAATGGACTTTTAGAAAGCCAGTTTTCATAAGGTCTGTGGTTACATTACTTATAGAGCTGAAAAGTGAAAGTCTCTTCATGTCTCTCACTTCCTCCTGCTCTCTCACCTCCATGGGGTAGATGATGGTCTGAGCTGTAGCTCCTGCCAGGGAACCAGCAATGAAACGTTCCTGAACTCTTAGAGAGGCACCCTCCTTACTGCCTCTGATCAGCCATTTGATCTACACAAGACATTTATTATTGTTAACTTACATTAGACAGTCTGCCACTCAAAAACAAAGTGGCTACTCTGTAGCTACTGGATTTTGGTGTGTTTACCTGCTCATAAGCCATGAATTTGATAGCTGATTCTGGGGCAATTTTGAGGACATTGATGCCATTGCCTCTCCAAAGGGACCTCAATCCTCCTTCCTGCACCATTCCCCGCAAACCACCTAACAAACTCACACCATTGGAGCCGTGGACCTGTTAAAAATCCACTCAGATCACACTCCTTTCATTATGAGTACTTTTCACAACAGAACTTCCAATGTAAGATTGATTTATTTCAGTTTATTTGATACGACAACTGATAGAGACAATAAAGCTTTAATCAAACACTTTTAAGCGCTGACTGAACCTGGAGGAAAACTTTAAGACGGTCGAGAGGAGCAGTTCCCGTTCGCGATACAGCTCCTGCCATTGCCCCAGCCACTAGCTGTCTCCACACCACACCTGAACGCCGCTCTTTCTCTGAGAACTCATCCGGCACAGTCAGCTGCTCTCCAATGTCCAACATCTGAAACACATACATCATAGGTTTAAAGAACAGCTAATTTTACATTCTAAAATATCTGTGAATGTCAGGCCTACAATCTAATGTCTGAAAAGAGCTGGAAGTGAACCAGAGAATGTTTCCAGTAGTGGGCAATGTCCTCCATATTGTGCAACGGGTTAAACAGGAAGTGGTCCCTCCACTCGCTCCAGTCAATGGTCATAGTACCATCTCTGTCTATGCTGACACACAAAAGGAATATAAAATAGTTAAAACAAGCCTTTTCTATGGCCATTGAAACTAAGTGTGACTCAACATGTGGGGGCTTCACAGCAACATCTCAAACTCCTTTGAAAGCACAGCCAGAGTGGGAGTTAAATGTGTATGTGACATTGATTAAGCACTAAAAAACATAAAAACAAAGTGTTTTGTGAAAAGCTGAAGTGTTCTAACCTCTGCAGGATTCTGGAGGCCTGCTCTGTAGATACATTCACTCCAAGGCTGTGCAAGGAGAGCTGAATTTCTGCAACATCTATGTGACCTGAGGTCATAAAACATTTCAATGCTTATTCTGTACATGGGCAGCAAAAGATACACTATCGTTCAAAAAGTTTTTTTTTTAATGTTTTTGACAGAAGTCTCTTACGCTCACCATGGCTGCATTTCCTGAATTAATACTTTGTAAAATATTATTACAATTTAAAACAACGGTTTTCTATTTTCATAAATATTTAAAATGTAATTTATTCCTGTGGTGGCAAAGCTGAATTTTCAGCAGTCATTAATCCAGTCTTCAGTGTCACTTGATCTTTCAGAAATCATTATAATATGCTGATTTGCTGCTCAAGAAACATTTCTTATTATCATCAATGTTGAAAGCAGTTGTGCTGCTTAATATTTTTGTGGAAACCATGCCACATTTTTTTAGTTCAAAAGAACAGCATTTATTTTCAAATAGAAGTCTTTTGTAACATTATAAAATTAGAAATTTCTCTACTGTTCCATTTGATTACTTCAATACATCCTTGCTAAATAAAAACATGAATTTCTCTAACAAAAGAACATTTCCTGTCCCCAAACTTATGAACAGTAGTATGACATATACTACAAGACAGAGAAACACAAAGGTTCTTCTGATTTATCTCACAAACACTTTAAAAACAATCATGCAAAGTGGAAATGTGTATTATGAGGTTACAGTTACAGTGATGTTGTGTGATAAGATTATAATGTATGAAAAGAGCCTCCAGACCATCATTGTTGCGGTCCAGGCTGTGGAACATGAGTCTGAGCTCTTTCTCGTGTGTGCGCAGATACTGTGTGAACTCCTTGAAGTCCAGCTGGCCATCATGATTGGTGTCACTCACACGTACAATCTAAGGGGTGGAGGAAGTGAAAAGTACAAGTTTAAGGGCAGGAATGTGAGGGTTGGAGGAGTTATATGTGAACTTTATTTAACTGTACCCATGCCTATGTAGAGTGAAGAACAAAGAGAAACTAACAGAAAACAAAAAGGAGATAGAGGAGGCATTGCTCTAAGCTTATAGATGCATGGTTTCTGTTTGTGTGCAAAGCCCTGCCAGCAGTCTGGCAAATCCAGTCGCAAACACATTGAGAACTAGAGCCAATCTCTCCTCTTGCATCACAGCACATGACTAACAGTCACACAACCCAACAGCACAGACATACCACTGGCACATAGTGTCGCTCTCCCCAAAGAAACTTGGAGTCTCCAAGTTACGTTCATAATGGCACTTTCGTGGTTTCATCTTAGCATCCATAGCTACCTGCTGAAGTAATCATCACAACACAACACAACATATGCACTGTCTTGTAAGTCACTTTGGCAGAAAGGGTCTGTTTACAACATGACTGAAAATGTAAATGTTGCTGAACTGTGTGTGTGTGTGTGTGTGTACTGCAAGTACTGCAAGTTAAAGAAAATGTCAGGTAAATTGCATTAAAAATTAGGTCTCAATCATGATATGAGACCTTACTGCAGTTTTTTGCAATCTTCATTACTTTTGTGATTTTCTAAAACCTTGTATTGTAAACCCTCTTAAAACGAGAAAATATGTCTGTATGCAAATATATGGCAAAAAAATAGTAATTGTTCCCACTTCCAGACATTTCTTTTGGGTGTTCAAGCCTTAGTTATGTCCCAAATGACATGCTATCGTTTTTTTGAGTGACATCACTCAAAAAGAGACTCTTTTTTCATACACAGAACAATTACAACTGCTAATTGATTGTTTTTTTATCAGGGTATATCAGTAGGGTGCGCTTCGGGTGCAGATGAGGTAGGCTACACCCTCTGTAGGGTGATGCTGTGAGATGAATGGAAACTACTGAGTCAACACTTGCAGGATAGTGTAAGATTAGAGGGAACCCAGTGAAGGATTTTGTTATGACGATAAAGATCTCATGGGTTGCTTTTATTTTAAGGTCAACCTCAAACAAAGAAAGCGATTGATTATAAAAGGAATTTAGTTACAAGTATTGATGTTATGGAATTTGTGTTAATATTTTTTTTTACCATTAATAATGGTAAATAAAAAAGTAAAATGCATTTACATAAACATTTATGCATGATATAGTTTTGATACTGTATTCAATTATTTATCATGTCCAACATAGAGAAAAGGGTCTTACATTTCTGTCATGTCAGGGTCAACAGGAAGGGACCCAAATGCAGAGTGAGTGAAACAAGATTTATTGAAGACACAAGTTCACAGCACAGGGGTTGACAATCTTGGGACAACTCCAACCAGCAGGGAAAGATCAATGCCCTGAGAGGTAGACAGTCTGGGGTACAGTCTCAGTCGTTGGTCAAATCGGGGCGGAAGGATGGGGAGAAACCCAGAGCAGAGAACAGCAGAGCATGCAAGCAGAGTGAAGGGGCTCAAAGCAGGCAGTATCAGAGATTCGGTTCTCAGCACCAGGCTTGGTTGGTGGCCCGGCCTTGGGGAACCAACAGGCAGGGAGTCTCAGGCTGGAAGAGCAGGACTAGAGGGAAAACACAAATACACAAAACACCACTACTCAGCGCAACACACAGAGAAACAACATTATGTAAAAAAAAAAAAAAAGAAAAACTACACAAAACCATAATGTAAATATCTAGGTTTAGACTAAAAAACAAACTAAAGTATAAAATCTAAACAGCTCAGGAGTAGGAACAAGATTAAAGAACAACTAAATAAGATGTTACAAGTAAATTTAAGCAAGATACTAAAGAACAAAACCAAAATCAGGAGATAGAAAAATCAAGAGCAAAAACTACAAGGATACACAATAGCAGGGCAAGACTGAAATATAGAGCAGCAAGTCAGTAACTGTCTCTATAGCACAAGACGAACCAGCAACCACAAGAGGAAAAACAGCACAATATAAAGGGAGGAAAGTACACGAGGGACAGGTGAGCCCAATTACAGAAACGAGGACAAGACAAGGCCTAAACAAGTGGGCGTGACCAAGGGAAACAAGGAGATGGGACCACAGGAACACATGGCAAGCATAAACGAAGACAAAACAATGTGTGCAAACACAAAACAAACAAAGAAACATTAAACAAAGACAACACAGACAAAGCTGCCAGGGCAGAGCACTGACATGTCATAATTAACAGTGCGGTGTGAATGGCAATCAGTAGCTCTGCTTGTGTATTGCAGCATTGTATTACAGTATAGTTCAGGCCACTAGACTAAAATAGACAAATCCAAAAAACAGCCTACTCATGGTAAAAAAAAAACATCACAGAACTAAACTTCAAATCTTTGGCAGATGCGATTAACCTGTCATAATCAGCAGCAATGCTTTGATTTGAAACAAAAGAAGGGGGGTGTTTTATGCTGTGTATTTCTGAGCCATACTAAGCTCTCGCTTACCAATGCTTATTTGATTGGTGGAGAAAGGAGGTATCACGAATCCGGTCCATGAACTTCCATCTGCTAGCCATCGGAGGTCACCCTTTCCAGTTTCATTGACTCTCGCACTACACACTGTTGCACATCGCCCCGGACTACATATCCCATCATTCATTGCACTCAGCACGGATTGCACACAGCATTACAGGAGGAAGGAGAAAGTACAAAGGTACACTCTGGGTTAAAAATGCTGGGTTAAATACAACCCAGTGCTGGGTAAAGTAGGGACAATCCCAGCAATTGGGTTGTTTTGACCCAGCGGTTTGGTTACTACCCAGAAGGTTGGGTTAAACATTTAACCCAACCGCTGGGTCAAAACAACCCAATGTATTTAAACCAGCATTTTTTTTAGAGTGTAGACAATCCCAGATGGTCATTCTTGGCACAGCCCAAAAGAGGCTTTCTGGCTATGAAAAATAAATTCTCTCAATCACACTCCCACATAAAACCTTCTGAAGGACTTAATTCTCCTCTCCAGTATTTTCTGATTTGTCATGGTTACACCATCGTACGGTGCCATTGTCGACCAGACAAAGCTCTACACACTTCACATTATTAGACTGAGGGACATGAAACATGAAGTGTCCCATAGTGCTTTGCAGGCTAGCATGCAGAGATTATTTTAGGTGTGTCCCAAATTGTGTACTTATACACTATTCTATGACGTTTTGTAGTATAAATAGTGCGAGTAGTGCGTTCACACTGAAAATTCCAAAAAGAAAAAGTGCACTTTAAATACCCGGATGATGCACTTAAATGAAAAAGGAAAAAAATGAAGTGTGGAATGTTGGACACTTCATGCACTCAATTGTCGCAGTTTTAATTACCCAGCAAGCAATAGCCGTCATTTCAACGTTTTGGTTAAGTATAGACCTGATATAGTCCGGCTATGTGTAACCCACTTCTAGCCCAAATAACCTTGAATTTGGTTTCATGTCGTTTTTTGGCAAAATAACTTGTGAGATGTATGATATTCCATCATGTAAGCAAAGTAACAGTGTTTACAAGGTGTTTGGTTTCATTTCTTTGACATGTTCAGTACGTAGCCTGTGCATAGCCACGATTTAGCTCGTAGTTCGAGCGACTATCTGTAGCCCACTTATAGTCAAACCTGACTCACTGTAGTTTTTGGCCAGGCAGCGCATGAGATGGTTGATATCCCATCATGTTCGCAGTGTCAATAATATCTACAAAGATATAAGTGTCATTTCATGACATGGTCTATATGTAGCCACGATTTCGCTCTGAATTAGATGGGCTACGTGTAGTCTGCCTTTAGCCCACCTGGCGAAATCGAGGCAATGTGTGGTCTAATTTTAACGGCTTGGCTATAGCCCCCAT